GTAAAGATTTTGAATTCTGAGAGTCTGGGTATGGTTCTAATGTAAAATATGACACTTATGTAATTTTTAAGATACCATACAATTTTTGACCTTAAATGACCTATTTGTGGCAATCTGACCTGGTCAAAAATGATATGATGGTATTCCTTGACCATATAAAAATAGTTTCAGACATTAGATGGCGGCTATAATGACCTTTGATGAAGTGGTTCCTACCAAAAATTGAATACTATGACAATAAGGAGCATGTAAAAGGAAAAAATGGTACTTTTGTCCATAATGTTCACATCCATCTGCTAAGCTGCCGGACTAATATATTTACATCTTCGCATTGCTTTCTATTTGCCGATGGCATCAAATTATTTGGCATCGTCAAAAACTTACATGATTGTCATCTTTTACAACAGGATCTTGAAAAGCTGTATAATTGGTCTTCTACTTGGAAAATATCCCTCAATCCACATAAATGTCAGGTTCTTACATTATTTCTTTAAGAAACTTTTAGTTAATTATGATTACAACATTAATGGTTCGTTAATTGAGAAGGTTAATGTTCAAAAAGATCTTGGAATTCACATTGATTCTAAGCTTAATTTTAACAAAAATGTCGACTATTGTATCCAAGAGCAATAAGATGCTGGGCATGTTTTGGCGGCACTGTAAAGAGCTCGACAGCAACACCAAACTTTATAATTATATTTCTCTTGTCAGACCAATTTTTTGATTTTTTGTCTACAATTTATAATTCTACATGTATTTCTCAATCAATCCAAATTTATGTATTTTATTAATTATAACAACGTTCATGCTCCTATACACTTCACACTAGAAGGGGCACGTTTGATATGCTCTTCCTTTTTAAATGTTTCAACTCGCTTTTTACTTGCCCTCTTTTATCTTTATGTTAAAAATACAAATTCATGTAACACTAATTCTCTGTGTCAATAAGCCAGATCAATGCTACTAAAAACGGTTTTATTCACAGACTCTCCTATAACTATAATACCATTACACGTAACGATACTACTACTACTGACATACTATTGACATATTTTTCAACAGTATTCTCTTGAAAATAGGCTGCCCCACTCACTTTACCAACCTTATTAGCGCATTACACACGGATATGAAGGCCTCGTTAAAACAAAAGGGAGAGCTTTCCGATCATTTTGAGGTCAAATAACGGTGTAAAATAAGGTTGCGTACTAGCTCCCACGCTTTTCTCCATATTCCTGTCTGTCGTGCTCAATCATGCCTTCAAGGACTGTGCAAAGGGTGTATGGATCCAGAGCAGACCTGGAGCAGATTTGTTCAATGTCAACCAGTACAAGTCTGTGAGCAAAACCTAGAAGAGTAAGGGAACCTATGTTCGCAGATGACACAGCATTCATTGCACACAACCATGATGATGCTCAGGAAAAAACAAGTATATTTGCTAGCTTGGCTCAAGCATTTGGACTAAAAATCAATATTAAAAAGACAGAAATGATGTATCAGCCACCCCCGGGATCTCATGATACCGGTCAAAACATCCATATTGACAACCAACAACTAGCTAAAGTGTCGAAATTCAAATACCTTGGATCCACAGTCATGAACAACAACAAAATGGATGAAGAAATCTGCATCAGGATGTCACACGCCTCCATCTCATACAGTAGATTAAAGCAGGAGTGGTACAACAAATGTATAACCTTCAAAACCAAATGCGCAGTATATTGTGCCACTGTACTCTCCACACTGTTGTACAGTGCAGAGGCATGGCCTGTCTACAAAGCTGCAGCACATAAACTTAACACCTACATGATGTGGCACTTGCATCAAATCCTTAATGTCAAATGGTGGGATTTTGTCCCAAACAAGGATATCCTCGACCAAGCTAATCTACCAAGTATGTATGAACTCTTAATCCAAAGAAACCCGAGATGGGCTGGTCATGTCAACAGATTGGATAATAACAGACTACCTAAACAAATACTCTATTCACAACTGAAGAACGGCTCCCGCAGTATTGGTAGACCAAGACTAAGATTTAAGGATACTGTTAAGAGAAATTTGAAGGATAAGAAGATACCCATTGGTAGCTGGCAGCTCCACAGCAGACACAAAAGCAGATGGAGATCAATGGTTCACCGGACGTCTTCATCGGATTCAATGGACAGCTAATAATTTCCACGTCCAAAGTTGTTAATTCAGTATAGGTCTTCTTTTAGTTAAGCTAGGGACTCTCAATATTGTCGATTTGTTACCTTTGACTGATATTGTTTGTATTTTTTGTATTTTAATATATTTTTATATATTGTATGTTTAAGACATCATGTAATGGGCGATTCTGGTGTTGGATGTAACTGAAATGAAATAAAAGAAAAATAAAATAAAATAAATTTTATCAGTGCAGCAATTTGCTACAGAAGAAAAGGTTTTAGCTGTTTACGCTGAAGATCATTCATTGATCAGAACTTGGAGCAAGTTGATATACAGCTAGTGCATTACAAGTACACAGGAAAGGTCAAACTTTTGTCATGAAACGTCCAATTGTGTGCATGGCCTTGGGTGTTAAACAAAAACTATTTTAGCCCTCCAGACTACATTAGATTATGTATTAATACTTGCAAATGAAAAGAAAACACCAATTTTCTTTGATTTCCATTCAGAAGATTTATTTTAAAAGATGTGATTACCTTTTACTTAATAATATTTGACACATCATTTTTTTAGGTTTTCTTCTTTAAAAGGTTCCCCTTAAAATACTTATGTTTTTGTTTTTGTTATTGAGAAAATTTTTTAATATGGTTCACAAACGTCTTTCTCCTTATAAATGACCACTTGTTGGTTGTATGGCCATATTTGCAAAGTTATCGAGCAATGGACACTTGCCAGACACGGATTAAGCTGTCTGTGTATCCAGCAAAGAGTGTCTGACCGTCAGCAGACCAGGCCAAGCACAGGCATTCTGGTGGACGGCTCTTGCTACTGCTGGAGATTACATCGAGTCTTAGTTCATCAACAATTGTTTTGGCTTCAAGATCCTGAAAAAAATTCACAATTTAGAACCTTAGTTCATATAGAAAGAAAATGATTGTAAATAATTTTTTATTTCTTTAGAATATTCTGTGGATAGGTGGTGGGATACATAATTACAGACATCAACTCCTACACTACTTACTCCTTTGCGTACACACCTGGTCTAGACCTGCATCTGCGAAAAGTCCCTACTCGGGGCCCCCTATTTGAAAATCCTGGATCTGCCACGGTGACCCCTTAAAATTGTATCTTTTATGCTATTCTATACATTTCGTCTTAATGCTTGCAATTTTATACAACACATTAATCAATACTTATAAAATGAAATGTAGTAGTCAATTATTATATACATACAGTATATATCAACTACAGTACTACTGATACGCTACAAGAAATAAACTGTTCAAAACAAAAATCATATAATCTATAACATTTGAGGTAGAGTGTCTTAGCATTACAGCACAACTAAGATCCCAAAAAAACAACATTCAAATCAATCTAATATATATA